AGAGCATTAGGGAATGGAATCGGCACCTGGTCTTCATGAAAACTCCATTCTCCTGTCCCCCACACTAGGCTCTCTGCTGACCTCCTGGCTGCCAGGGTGTGCTACTTGTGCTCAGAGATCATTTACAGATAATTATGCTTCTTCTGTTATATCCTCTCTATTGTAGAGTGAAACTAAACAAAAATGACATAAGTTTTTCAAATTTAGTGAAGCAAATTTTCCTCAGATTCAAATTAATCTCCTATAATTTTTCCTGTAATATTTTCTGTAATAAAGAGGATCTAAATTGTACACAGAAACTTCTCATTTTCACTTTGCTTAGTGTCCTCTGATTTTTTTTTGTAGTTGTTTGTCATGGGTCTTGAACTCTGGGCTTGGGTGCTGTTCCTCAGCTCTTTAGCTCAAGGCGAGCGCTCTACTGCTTGAGCTACAGCGCCATTTCTGGTTTTTCTGAGTGGTTCATTGGAGATAAGAGTCTCATGGACTTTTCTGCCCTTGCTGGCTTTGAACTGTGATCCTCACATCTCAGCCACCTGAGTAGCTAGGATTATAGTTGTGAGCCACCAGCGTCCATTCTTGTCCTCTGATTTTTACACCAGAAAAACACTAAGGTTCACTGATGTCATATACTTATAGATATCTTGTGGCAAGTTTTGGCCTAAAGCTATTTTAAATTGATGAGCTGATTGTGATTTTATAGTTCTGTAGGTGATTAGTCCAACTGTGCCCAAACTCATATCTCCTCTCTATAATGAGAATTTTTTAAACAGGTTTCTCCTTGTCTCTTTACTTGGACTGTGTGCTGATAAAGCCCACAGAACATGTGCAACATGCTGGGTCCTATCATACTCCCCACCTTCTCATCACTCACCTGAAGGTGATGGAAAACAATTCTTCCAAAAATCTCTCCAACTCACGGGAATCCAAGGAGCCCACCTGTGTTATGATCCTTAAAGCAACATCACCTGGAGAGCTACAATACAACTGATCTGCATAAGTTCTTGATGATGATCAGAAACTGGACACGCAACTCCTTCAAATAACTAACTTACAGTTTAAGAAAATGAATACCAGGAAGCTAAAGTGTGTGGAGTAAGGTCAAGGGGAAAGGGATAGAAAAATAGAGAGAGGAAGGATGGGTGAATGAAATCAAAATGTTCAAGATACGTGAAAATGGATCTAGGAAAATTAAAGACACATGAGGGGTTAGAAGAGCGAGAGAGAATGATGAAAATTGTGACATTGATGAAGATGAAATGTACTAATTATGTTCTGACATGTTCAATTGCAACCCCTTGTGCAATTACTTAAAGATAAAGTTATTATCTTTAAGTGCTTCATGCCTGTAACTATAGCTGGGAACTACAGATTGTGCTTCAAATCCAGCCAGGCACTAAAATCACTGAGACACTGACTTCCAATTAAAAGCCAGAAGTGGAGCTGTGGCTCAAGTAGTACAGTGCTATCCTTGAGCATAAAAGCTCAGGGACAGCACTCAACCCTGGTTCAAGCCCCAGGACCAGCAATCACTCAATCAATGAATAACGTGGACATAATATAACTCCAAAGTTGGCGATTACAAATATTATAAGAAAACCAATCTGAACTTTAATGAATAAAAGGTAGAATAACAGACTCAACCACACCCAGAATAAAGTACAATCTGAAGACTCTGGCCAGAGGATAGATTAAGGTAAACGAACATCACATTGGACAAGTCAGTACTTGATACAATACCCAACCTCTAGCTCCCATACATATTGGCTCAAAATGTTGGTAGAGTTGGGCTTGAGCTTGGATCATCTGAAATACATTTCATGGGAAGAATCCGAGTTCAAGAAGTCACTGCTCAGATTTTAAGGTCATTTCTTAATGCCGCTTCAAGCTTATTGAACAAATAATTATGCAGGAATACGTCTGTAATTACTCACTAGTAAGAAAGTCTCCTGCCCAAATGGATTTCTAAGTAGCACAGTACTTGACATTCTAAAACTTGCTTCTACCCATTATGTATCTGGTCATGACATGAGAGAATAAGCTCATTTGGGAGAGATAATGTAGCCCCCCAAAAGAACAATAAAGATATTTAGGAGGTACCATGTAATTTTTTTGTTGCTTTGTATATCCCCTGCCCCTTCCCCCATGGTATAACCCCTGTTTTCACTGTGTTTGATGTCCATATAATTTGGGGAGGGGAAGGGGAAAAAACGAAGTGTTTAAATAGGGATACAAGTTGAACCATTGTAACAATGAGATGTACATGACACTATGTTGAAAAACGAACTTTACAATTTAGGTGGGAGGGAGTTTCATTGTGGAGATGGGAGGGAAGGGATGGTAGGGAAAACAAAGGAGGAGGCAACAATGCTTGATAAGAAATGTACTCATTACCTTGCTCATATAGCTCTAACCCCTCTGTACAGTATTTTCACAATAAAATCTTATTTTAAAAAAGAACTATAAGGGACTTCTGGGGTTGGAAAAATCAGGAGGTGATGTAGTTAAGTGCCCAAGGAATATGTCTTGAAAATACATAAAGGAAAACCAGTGCATCATTATGGGCTGGGGGTCAAAAATATTAAAGATCTAAAGCTACAATATTTGGCAATCTACTCAGTCTCAGAGTCCAGACAAGACCTAAAAAATGTCCTAATCTACTGTTGTTCAGTACTCTGACCATGTCCATTTGATGAGTCAACTCTTGCAACTGCCAAAGCATGATTAGATCTTTTTACACCAGCACATTCTCACTGCCTGCCATGATCCAAGATCTGGATGCTCACTTAAATTTCAAAAGATATTTAAACAACAATATCAAATCACCTGAAAAGACTGGTTCTTCTTATTTTTTTGAAATTAATCTCATATGATCTTCAATTCATCTATAATATTCTGATGTCATCATAAAACGTTTGAATTTCTTATGCTTTTAAATTTTCATCCACTATGCTTTCATAAGTGTTCACTTACAATACCCTAATGTAAAATAGAAACCATTATATACTGAATTAATTATAATGTATAGTTTTCAAGCTTTAGAATGATATTTCAAAATGTTAAGCCCCAGATTAGATTATGTAATTACCTAAAAGTTGAAATAAAGAAGTAAAAACAACTGAAGAAATGATGATTATCATGTCATTCCCCAAATAATGCAAAAAGGTTATATAATAGCTAGTACAGTCTAGTATAAATCATTCACTTAAAATAATCTTATCTAATTCTTTTCTTAAATACTCAGAGCTTTACTTTTGCAGAGCTAATTTATATGATACATTAAAAATCGATATATGAACTCATTTTTCATTTTTACGCAATAATCTATTCTAACATAGCATGTACATAGGTTCATTTATATATCCAACAAGTTATTTTTATTGGGTTTGGAATATTGAAAGGTAGGAGTGCTTGTAAAGCCTGTATGGAGTGCTAGCCTGGATCATTCATGTTCATGTCAGGAACAGTGCTGACAGGCCTGGGAGGTTAATTTTCCCAGGATACTGGGGAGCTATGGTTCTCTCCAGAAGCTAATGGACTCCATCTTGTTTTTCACAGAAGCTAGCAAGTGAATGAGAACCACTGAGGAAGAGAGGAAGATGAAAGAATTTCCTGCATGTGATTGTACCACATAGGGTGCAAGCCCTGGTGCTTTGTTTACAATGAACCAGAACTCAAATGTGGAGGCTCATAAGGGCCATAGTAAGTTGATATTCAGAATCTACACAAAACAGTTGAAATATATACATATATATATATATGTATGTATATATATACCTGCTCCATGTTTTAATTGCAGTTTTACTCACATAGATTCTTCAAAATTTAGTGAAAGATAATATCTCATGTAATAATTTACAAGATCTGTAAATTATTATCACCAGGATTAGCTAGAGGCCTATTGACAAGATCTTTGTAAGAGAGGCTCTGATGCTGAAGAGAACTATGAAGCTGCAGTTAAAAGTCCTCAATTCCTCAATAAGAGTCGTTTTCAACATTTGAAGTAAAGAGTTATTGACTAGGAATGAAATTGGTTCTAGGAGCACAAGTAGTGTGACAAATAGAAAGCTGTTTCTTTCTTGTATTGACTTACATATGACATAGATCACATATCTTCTGAAATAAAATGAGGTTCTTTTTTCAAATGTCAGAATCATTTAATTAATTAATTATATTTCATTATCTTTAACTAATAGAACAAAATAGTTACTATTCAACAAATCATTTTATAAGTACAATGCATCTTGATTGATGTCACACCTTTCCTTATTCCTCTCCCCCTTCCTAACTAAACCCCAACCCTCAATTTTCCTGGTTTCTTAAGATCTGCATTAGATTTTATGATTGCAATGTCCCTTCCTCTCCTCATTCATCTGCCCTCTTCATCTCACCTCTCCTCCACATCTTTCAAGTGCCAGTATTCATTTGGTTGAACTGTGAGTTAGTTTTATTAAGAAGTTACACCATTTGAATTCTCCCCCGTAAATACCATACTTTGGTTTATGTGTTTGTTACACTTGCATATGATCCCATATGTATTTATTTATGTATTTATACATTAGATCCAGCTTCCATATATGAAAGAAAATATACATTTTGTGTTGTGTGTCGCTTGGCTTGACTTCACTTAACATATTTTTCCCACTCCATCTATTTCTTTGAAAATAATGTGATATCCTTCTTCCTAATGAGGTTATAAAATATATATCCAAGTTTGTGTCAAATTCAAGATATTTCTACATGTACATCTGTACTGGCTTAATAGAAGATCCAGAGTCTCTCTCTATGAAGATACAGATAGCAAGGTTGGTGTCTAGTGTCCATTACTATGAGACTCAGATTTGCAGCTGTATAAACTCCTTCCTGGACACACCCAGAGCCCTGCTGATTTGCATGCGCCAACAGCTTAGTCACTGCCCACATATCTTTTTAATAGGCTGTTGTTCATCCCAGATGCAGGCATCAGTCCCAGTCAGAACACAGTGTGGACATGAGCGCCCTCACTCAGCTCCTGGGGCTCCTGCTGCTCTGGATTACAGGTAAGGAAAGACTATGCTGAGGATCTCCTCAGACTGCTGTAGTCAGTGATGCGTGGCTGTTTATGAAGCTTTCTTACAACATGTTTGATTCTATGTATATTTATTACTTTTCCAATGCCAGGTGCCAGATGTGACATCCAGATGACCCAGTCTACATCCACTTTGTCTGCATCTCCTGGAGACAGAGTCTCCATCACTTGCCAGGCCAGTCAGAGCATTAGCAATTGGGTAAACTGGTACCAGCAGAAACCAGGGGGAACTCCAAAGCTCCTGATCTATAGTGCTAAGTATTTAGAATCCGGGATCCCCTCCAGATTTAGTGGCAGTGGATTGGGGACAGAGTTCACTCTCACCATCAGTAGCCTGCAGCCTGAAGACATTGCCACTTATTACTGTCAACAGTTTTTTGATTACCCACCCACAGTGATACAAGCCATAACATAAACCTACAGGAAGCAGAAGTTAGAGGCTGGGCTGCCCCAGCTGCTTTCCTCATGCTTCCTCTTGCCAGATGTGTCTGAGAATCATAGGACAGGTATCCTGCCCAGGATATCCTGGACCAGTGAGCTTCTATGTCTCAATCTTTGGAGTAAATGTAATTATAGATGTGTGATACTGGGACTGGGCTGAGTGTTGAAATATTAAAATTACATTCCAGACTATAAACATGGAAATACTCTGCCTTTATTATGTTTCTATTAATCTTGAATAGATATTCACAATGTGCATAGAGACACTTCGAAATTATTTTAATAGTTTTATTTTGAGATTTTTCAATACTTCATTCATGAATTTCATCAGCAAGTAAAGACAATTTGCCACTTCCTTTTTCCGCTTCAGGTCTTTTGTACTTTTTTTCCAATTAGTTTTAGCTTTTCTTATTGCATTTGGAGAACCTCAGTACAATTTTAGGTACTGAAGTTAATAGTGAACATTTCATTTTTTAATACAGCTTGAGTGGTAAAATGCTAAATAACTATATCAATGAGTACAAAATTTGTTGCAGAGTTTGCCTATTTATTAAAACAGACATTTTCCATTATTCCTGGACTGCTGATGTGTCGTGGATAGCTTTTGACTCTATTAGAATGATGAACTGCAGCGATCAGTTATCTAATTTTAAAAGTGATTTCTACTTGTGGAATATACTCCACTTGATGAACATACATTGCCTGAGAAAAATAAGGAAAATGAGACAAAGAAAGAGAGAGAGAATGAGAAAGAGAGAGAGAGAAAGAAAAAAGCAAAGAAGAGATGGAGATGAATGGAAGGAGAGAAAGGGAGGGTTGAAAGGAAGATAAATTTGGTTTATTTCTATTTTCTAAATCCCAGTCCCACTTACCAATCAAGTTGAAATTATCAAGAGAAACATTTAATAGAAACAACACTGTTGGCACTGAGTATCCAGCAATCCTGTGCTCTCCCCTGCAAGGTACACTGAAGGTGAGATGTTTCTTGAGCTTAGTCCCTCTGTCCTCCAGACCAGTTCCCACCAAGAATCACAGCACTGTTCCTAGCTCACTGAATCTTCTCTGTTTTAATCTGAAGAATCTAGCATTCTTGGACAGTCAGAGGAACAACACTGAAGTCTTTTATTTACAAAAAGAGAAACCTCAAGATAAAGCAGATCTTCCTTAAGTCAGAAGCCCTCTGACTCTCAGATTGACAAGTGAACATAGGCATGCAACTTATGCATCAATTTCTGTATTTATACCTAATGAGTAAGATACAGTACATAATAATTAAATATATATTATATAAAGTTTATTATGGGTTATTTTGTATATATAATGTATTATTAGGTATTAGTCTATGATTTTTCTGATTTTCCCAATTGTTTTCACGTTTTTTGTAATGGTGATACATAGAGGGGTTACAATTACAAAAGTAAGGTAATGAGTAGATTTCTTTTTGAATAGTTTCAATCTCTCCCTCATTATCTCCAATGTCTACCCTGCCAACTACTCCCCCAGCCCAAGGTGTAAAGTTCATTTCTAATATATTGTCTAATAAGTATCATTATCGCATTGTTTTGTTTTTATATGTTATGTCATTTATGGATCTTCTTAAGACTTATAAAATATTTTTACCAATGTATAGGTAAACTCTTCCATTTTACAAAATATTATCCTAGGGATTATAACTGTACCTGGAAATATACCCAACTAATCATAAGAAATATCTTGAGGGAAAAAAAACTCACTCTGAAATAGTTTCTATGGTGGGTATTGAAGTTTCCACTACTAAATATCATGAGTTAAGTATTAGGGAAAAGGTATACAAAAAGGTGAATTAAGAGCAAGTAAAAATGACAAACATAGGGCATCTCTCTTTTATAGGCAATGTTCTAACTCTGGATGTAGGAGGAAATAGATTGAGGAGGTGGAGATGTACTTCAGGGATTGGTTGCCATTGAAGAAAATACTTAGGATTATGATAAATATGATTCTGTGAAAAAATTGGTCCATGGATGGAAGAAGGTAAAATCACAGAGAAAGTTATAGCAAAATGTTCAACACTACTGTAACAGTTACACAAACGAGGATGAGTAAGCAGACAAATAGGGAACTTAGCAGCTGCCACACTCCATAAAGCATGGAAGGGCGGGGCCACCAGGGAACATTGTTTGACCTCAGGTTCACAGATAAGCAGCTGGATTGTGTCTATGGATGTGCATTTTACCTTGAGTCTGCAGAGACATACATGGAATAGAGTGGCACAGAAGTAATGCTTTCTTGAGACACATGTTGCAGATGGAAAAGGAAAGTTTAATTTTTATTGGGGAATTAGAAGATAGACATGGAGGACATTCAGAGCCAGAGAACTTAAGCCAAAGTAAAGAGCAGATCACACTGTCCTTCAAGACATGCAAGGTTGAAGACCAGCCATCCAATGAGCACAACTTGAAGGAGCAGGAAAAACCCAAGGTGTGTTCTAGGTAGGCCTGATTTTCGGACTGCTAAGTAGCAAAAAACCATGAGATCACTGTGATTTTTTTGCTCATAACAATTGCTGCCGAAGTGGCACTGTGGCTCAAGCAGTAGAGTGCTTTCCTTGAGCTGAAGAGCTGAGGGAGAGTGCTCAAGCCCAGAGTTCAAGCCCCATGACCAGCCAAAAAAAACAAACGAACAAACAAAAAAAAAACAATTGCTGTATAGTGGGCAACTGTTTGGTTGGCTATATAGTTTTAGTGTCTCTGTTTCTTAGGGTTCTCTACAGTTACTTTTGGATAAGATTTTCACCTTGTTTCCTGGAATTTTCTTCAGAGTTTTTCTAATGTTAGGTTCAAGTAAAATTCACTGCCAATTTTAACTTTGGGTGAGACACATGTAGGTGTATGCTTTTAACATTGCTCATGGCAAGTACACATGTCATGACCACTACCATGAGATGACAAGAAAACACATAAGAAGAATATGAGAAGTCCAGGCCTGTTGATGCATGCCATGTACTTTCAGATATAAAGGAGAAATAGGTAGAATGATCTCAGTCCAGGGCAGCTCAAGCATTTTTTATACATTCCAGATAATATCAGAACAATGAATTAAAGCAAAAGCAGTTGGGAGGGTGGCTTAGTGGATAGAGTGCTGGCCTAGCAATCTGAAGTCCCTGATTTCTAACTGTAGTACACTCAAAAAGAACTGTGAGATAAAGAGAATAAAAACTCTAATGATACACAAGAAAGATTCTATGCAAATACCATCAGGATAATTTACAGTAAAATGTTGATATATCAATTTGAAATATCAAATCATTGGATGCAAAGTTATACAAACTATGGACTAGGCATGTGTCTCCCTGTTTTGCAGTCTAACAGAATCAAAGGTACATCTCCCATGCTGGACAAAGATCATTCTGAAACCAGATTTTTAACATTTCAAAATGCCTGACTAATCACTCCCAAATGCCAAATACAGACATAGTGAAGGGCAGAAAAAGGAGGTTTATCATGGTAGCCATGGGAAAGGAGCATTTTAATATTTATCCACCATCTTTGGATAAATCTTGTGACTCTTATTTCTGTGATTGATAAGCAAAAAGCCAGATGTGGAGATGTGGTTCAAGTGGTAGAACACCAACTTTGAGAGAAAAATTCAAACAAGAGGGAGCAGTAGGCCTTGAGTTCAATACCCTGTCCTAGAACTGAAATAAAAAATATTGAATTAATAGGAATTAGAAGAAATTGAATACATGATTTGTAGTGAAGATATTATATGCTAAGTAGTAAATGATAAATGATGTAATAAATGATAAAGCAATATATTTGGTTCTATTGGTGTTTGAACTTGGGGTTTCATGCTTATTAGGCTCTAGAACTTAAGTCATTTCACCATCAGTTTTTACTTTAGTTTATTTTTCAGATGAGGTCTTGTGATTTTACCTGGCTTGGTCTTCTGTTACAATCCTTCTAATTTCACCTCCTGCATAGCTTCAGAAACGTATCCCACGTGCTACAATTTGTTTTTGGGTTTGAGTTTCACTGCTTTCCAGGACAGCTATGAATGAAGCACAATCTTAAATATCTATGCCTCCAGTTTAGTTGGGATTCCAGGAATGAATTACCATGTCCAGCCCTTCAAAGAAAATGCTTTTAAGAAACTTGTTACTAAGCTAGGTCCTGGTAGCTACTCAAGAGGTTGAGAGCTGAGGAAGACAGCTCAAAGCTGGCCCAGGCAGGAAAGTCCTTAACACTCTTATCTCCAATAAACCACCAGAAAAACAGAAGTGGTGATGTGGCTCAAGTGATACAGCACTAGCCTTGGGCTGAAGAGCTGAGGGACAGTGCCCAGGCTCAGAGTTCAAGCCCCATAACCGACCAAAAGAAAAAAATGAAGAATTATTTATAATATATTATATTTCATATAAAGATGAAGAAAAACAATTTCACATTACAATATAAAAGAAATAAACTCAACTAACATAAAAGTACAAAGAGTGTTATACCTAGTAGCCAATGTCCAGCAATGTGACAGCAGGATTAGGATGCTATTTTTCTTTTAGCATTTATTCTTTTGTTAATTCTCACTTGAAGTACAATATCTATCATATAAATATTCAAAGCAAATCAATGATGAGAAGGATAAGGAAGATGAAATTATGATACTGTAATAGGAAAGGGAAAATGCAAAAGGTGGAAAGAATCTTTGTGAATAAGAAGCCACTCTCCTGAATGATCAGCTAACCATACAGCCAGGCCAGTAGGTAATTTGTTAAAAA